GTCCTCCATAAAATGTGCTGCACACATCTGAATATTTGGGTTGAACTGTTCTGGACCAGTGTTGTAAATACAACTTAACCACTGATTTCTAGTCATGTCCTCTTTTGGAAGACCAAACAAAGTAGTTTCGCTTTCACAACAAAACACAGTGTCACACACGGCGGCCTTGAGTGAGCGGTGGCTGGCGGATTCGATGAAGGAGCGGCTGGCGGGCTTGCAGCAATCACATGTGACGACCCCGGGCTGGACTCCGTTTCGTCCATGGTGAAAGCCGATCCGGAGATCCACAGCGTGAAGTTGATGTATTTCCTCAGCGACCAGCACGGATCAGCTCCAGGCATAACGAAGCGGATATCGTCCTTCTCTCTATTCCTTAGTAAAAGTTTGTCTCAGAAGCTTTGTGAATAGGTTTTAAGAGAAAACGCTAGCTAAAAAACTTTTACCTCTATTTAGGAGAACTCTTAGTGGTAAGATAAAATGTTTTGTGAATACGGGCCCAGAGGTGTATTTTGAGGTGGGATATGGTTAAGGGGTGGGCAAGTACCTTCAACAGCTCCTTCCTGACTACGTCACTATGAGAAGTTATGTAAATATGCTGTTTCTCCTTTTGTGTACCCACAACTCTCTCTGAGGGATTTTTGTGATGCAAAGAGGAAACGTTAACATGTACAACTGAATGATCACAACACTCCGAACTCTGGAGTATCTTGAGAGTAAGTTCACAGATACACATACACTTACAGGAGCTAAAAATAGTTAAATATTATAAAAGTAGCTAAATATTCTACTTTGTAGACAATCCTCACTATTTCTTTTGCTGAAATTCTGCTGTGCATAATTGCTTAGTAGTGTGACTTGAATCAAGTTGAACTGGTTGTTTGTTACTGAGCTAGGAACCATTAAGTTAGAGAAAAGGTTTGTTTTGAATAAACCATACCATGATATGCATTACATTCTATTATAATTTCTGATTGGCAGGCTAAGAATAGTTTTTTTTTTTTTTGTAATCTTTGTTTATATGCACATGTATCATCTTACATTTGACATACAGTTTAAAATCCCAGCAGAATCCCAGTTCAGCAGAATGGCAGACATGTCAGTGGAGGAGATGACAACTAAAGCCAACTGTGTAACAGATCAGGTAAGTTTGTTATTTGATTCCACAAGGATGTCTAAGATGAAGATGATATGAATCCTTCTTGTTCTTTTATTAGTTGCTGTTTTCAAGTTCCTGTAAAATTCCCAGCTCATATGAAAGCAACGTTCTTTCATTTCTGTAAACTGAAAATAAAAATATTTATTTTGCCCCATCTAGTTATTCAAATATGGTTTTGTGAGAAGTGTGGAAATAGTTTTGTACAACCATAGTTTATCAGAAGTATCAGTGTGCATTCACTCTTCATTCATCTGAAATATTTAACACATAGTTTTATTTTACAGTTCAGCAAGTACTAGTTAACATCTAGCAATCAGACTTTTTTCTTTTAGAATTGCAACAATTCTGATGACAGAATTGGGATAGATAAACTCAGAATTGCAAGAAAAAAAGTCACAGTTACCTCATTTATATTCTTTATCACATGGTTTAAACAAGCTTCCATAAATATTTGATGTTAACGTTTGACTAACTGTCCTTTTATATGTTTTTCAGTCACTTGAAAGCACTAGACGAATGGTACAAATGACGTAAGAGATCTTATTTTAACCAGTTTAACCAATGACACATGAATATAGGCCTACTCCTTAAAAACACGATGAAGAAAACCTATGCCATAATTTATTTAAAATAGTTATTTCATATTATGTATACTTCAAATCCATTAACATATTTTTGACATATCACTTAAGACTTACTGATATAAAATTATAATTAAACTTTGTTTGGAGTATTTCTTTACTACACAATGCACATTTCTTAATATTATGCCAAAAAGATGTTTTAATATCACTATTAATAAGGACTGTATCATCTCTGTATAACATCAGCCTTTAAATGCAAGATATTTAAAGTACCCGAGGTATACTAACAATAGTTCTACTTTAGCTCAATCAAATATACTTGAATATATTTTTAGTTGGACTTCAGCACTACTTCCACACAATTTAAGTGCATTAAGTACAAAATGAGTTGTTCCAATTGTAGCAGACTTTCGGTGTACCAGTTTAGTATATACTAAAGTACAATTGCAGGTTATTGTTATGAAGCACATACATATACATAAATGTACTTGTATACTTAGCACAAAATAAATGTATTTCAAATATATTTGTGTGTATGTATGCATGTACGTACACAGTACACACACATATTATGTTAACAAAACTTTTATTTTGGATGCGATTAATCGTTTGACAGCACTATTATATATATATATATATATATATATATATGTGTGTGTGTGTGTGTATATATACTTTTAGTTGCTTTGAGTTGAACTTGAAGCATGTGTATTTTTGCAGAGTTTGAACGTTGGGGTCAAAACAATGACTATGCTAGATGAGCAGGGAGGTGAGTTCTTTATCTCAATACTCCTGATTTCTGATGTCTAACTCAATATCCCACAATTTAGAGGCCTGTTCACACGCTATAATAGCCACGAAGTCTCTCTTAAGCTGCTGTCACATTTGCCATTGCTTGGCAAAATGTCATGTTCGAAACAGTAATTTCTGCAAAATTGGGAATTTCATGTGAAGGCGAAAAATTTACCAACATAGATTTCAACCTGGGTTCAGGTTGGTCATGCGAATTTGCTGCGTTGACCAACAGAAAGCTACTTGATCTCTGTGTGAGAGATATATAATATACAGTGTTGGGAAGGTTTCTTTGGAAATGTAATAGGTAACAGATTACAAGTTACCCTATTTAAGAGTCTTGAATTTATTGACTTTGACTTGAATTTGTATGAATTATCTTAAGACACAAAATTTGTTTAATATTTTATGCAACACAGTAGGAAAAAAGTGTCAGAGAAAATAAAAATGTTGTACAAAAATTGTATTTCTTATTTTTATTCGTCTTGTCAGGATACAATTCGTTTAACATTTACAACACAATAGGAAAAAAAGTGTTGCAGAGAGAAAGCAAATGTAGGTTGTACAAAAATAGCCTAGGCCTATTAGCTAGGTTATTCTCTTGTCAAAATTCTAAATTCGTTTGACATTTTTCTGTTAACACAGTAGGAAAAGTGTTGCAGAGAAAAATAAATAAATAATCTGCCATTCATTTAAAATTATAGGCTAAGCAAAATATAAATAAAACCGAGTTGAACGTCCTTCAAGGACAGCGCATCCACACTGTGCTCCATCCTTATTCTGCTCTGTCACTCATCGACAACCTGCCTGTTCTGTCTGAGGGCTGTATATTTAGGCTACCACCGGTACAGCGGTATACCGGTGGTCAATAAGAATAAAGCGCAGATATGCTGTTCTGAATGGACGTCGGGAACGGGATATTGTTAGACCGCCCGCTCCCGTTCAAATTACACCAGAGTTACCGACCGCTACCGCGTCTTATTCGGGAATTTTGCGGCGCAAAAAATCTGGTCGGTTCCCGCGGGAGAGCCGCGGGAATGCAGACTTCTACCTTACAGTACACTTTCAAAATCCTTCATCACTTGAATTAAGATAATATTTTAATTTGAAAGCACAGCCGCCACAAAATCTGACTTACTCTGAGATCATTCTGAGGTTAAATACAGATTTAAAATCATAAGATATAGTTTAATAGCTATGATGCTGTTTTTGAAATCAAATCTTTGCATAGACAGGAAAAACTGGAATCTAACAATGCCTTGGAAAAAACAGTTAAATATAAAAAATAAAGCATATACATAAACCCAAACTGGAAATAAAACAGTTATCGAATAAGCATGCGTGTCCTATTCTGTGTACTAAACTCCTGAAACATTGGTGTCTCATATTTTACTACAGTCAATGCAATTTGGAAATCAATCAAATCTATGTGTGTGAAAATATTCAGATGTAACCCCCCTTTGTAATCATTAACATTTTCATAAGTAACTGTAATTAAATTTTTTTTCAGTAATTTTAACTGATTACAACTACAATTACTTTGTAATTAAATTACGTAATTACTCCCCAACACTGATAATATACTATACTATACACTTTTTTGCCTGTGAAATTTAGAAGAAATTTTGCTAATGTGATTGCCACACACTTTTTCTTCTTCTTCTCTTTTTCTTTATTTTAGAAACACTAAAGAATGTGGAACGGGAAATGGACCAGATCAAGCAGGACATGAAACAAGCTCGAAAAAACCTGAATGAACTGTCCAAATGCTGCGGCCTGTGTTTGTGCCCATGTAACAGGTTGGCTAGAGCATATATCTTCTGTATGACAATGAGTTATATATCTGAAATAGTTTGCCTAGGTCAGCCTTAAAGGGGTCATATGATGCGATTTCAATTTGTCCTTTCTCTTTGGAGTGTTACAAGCTCTTGGTGCATAAAGAAGATCTGTAAAGTTGCAAATAGTAAGTTCTCAAATCCAAAGAGATATTCTTTATAAAAGTTAAGAGTCAGCCACGCCTACCTAAAACGGCTCGTTCTAACACGCCCCCACATACCTACGTCACGATCTGGGAAGACTTGCATAACACCGCCCAAATGTTCACGCAAAGAAAAAAGGCGTAACTTTTATTCTCGCTGTAGTATTGTTGCTGCCGCCGCCATGTCGTGAAGGCGCTGTGTATTTCGTTGTGAAAGCGAAACTACTTTGTTTAATCTTCCAAAAGAGGACGATATCCGCTTCGTCATGCCTGGAGCTGATCCGTGCTGGTAACTGAGGAAATACATCAACATCGCGCTGTGCATCGCCGGATCGGCGAAAGAAATCAGTGGTTAAGTTGTATTTACAACACTGTTCCAGAACACTTCAAACCAAATATTCAGATGTGTGCAGCACATTTTACGGAGGACTGTTTCCTGATCCTGGTAGAGTAGACTACAGTGCCAACTGTTCTGACTCACAGACTGTGAGTAAGTATTTTATATTTAAAGAGTTTTTATATTTTATATTTTTTATATTTAGTTTTTTGGGCAGTGTAGAGTAGGGCTTGTTGTTTGTCATTTCTCCGATCACAAATGCAGACATGGTTTTATGTTTACGCGGCGCGATGCAACACAACGC